TTTGCACTTGTTAGTTTTACTGCACAATTAACTTTTTAATATATATTATCTGGTTGCCTTTGATGACTAATTTAGTACTTTATTCTCTGTTATGAGAACAGTTACATTTGAATCTAAATCCCCCCAAGTATGTTGTAAATTCCATGAAGTCAGAGAAATTAAGCTTATCACTCAGCCCACCATCAGTGACCACAGATTGTTCTCCAGGAATACGTCCCCTCAATACACTCACATGCACACACACACATGCACAATTCATGCACATGACAGGATCAGGACTCTATAAACAGCAAGGCTTATTTATCCATTTTTAACAAAAATAGTAATTAGACTTGGCCAGGATTAGACTGACACTCATTCTTTCTTTAAAAGTACAGACACATTTGAAAAAATAAATTAAAATAAAATTTAAAAAAATAAAAAAATAAAAGTACAGACACATAAAAAGTACACTTCAAGAAGGCAGTACACAGTACTCAACATAATCCTCAAATTCATGCAATGAAAAAGGGACACACAGACCCATAGCAATATAAAACATGCTGATGGTTCCCAAAGGGGAGAAGGTGGGAGGATGGAAATAAATAAACACACACACGTACAAATACACATTGTCACATAGTCCTGGAAACTCACATACACTCCCACAAATATACATTCATTGTCTTGCCTATACATTCTACTTATTTTTTATTTTTTATGGCAACATTTATATTTATTTCAACACCTTAGATAAACCATTTTAACAATGTTGGGTATGGTGTTATTTTCATAAAACATCTCTTTTCAAAACAAATGTATTTCTATTTTCCATAAAAGTTAGAATTACATGCTAAAACAGAGTTAATCACTGAGGTAACATGTAACAATATAAAACTTATAGAGCAAGACCAGATAATGAACTATATCATTAAACTAAACAATTACACACAATGGATGTGTAAATTGATTCAGTAGTAAAATATAAAAACCTAGAATTATATACATAAATTTGGTGCATGGAGGCACTAGAGCAGTATTTACAGGAGTATCAGATTATTTCCTATTTTAGATGAATACTGCAGTTGTAAAATGATGAATATCAAAGGTAACAGCATTTTATTTACAGTCTACTGTATTAAAAGTTATACTTCCAGAAAACCTGATGATTGCTACAAATATAGCTAAAAATTTGGCACTAAAAACAAATATGTTCTCGGTAGTTGTAAATTTCTAATACCTACAAATTGAAAATTTCTGTTAAAATCAACACCTGGCCAAAAAAACTGCCATAATTCCATTCTTAGAAATACTGTAAAATTCAATCACTTCAGTTGAAACACAGTATGTGAATTACAAGAAGTTTTGCACAAAGGCACACATTGTTCATGATATAAATTTGGCAGCAGAATCTTATGTCATGAAAGTTACTGCCAGGTGATGGAAAAAAAAACAGGTAACAGAAAAACTGAACTGATTTTCCAGTCTAATTTTAGAAAGAGGAAAACAATGCTCAGATATGGACTTTCGTCACTCCTGTCTGTGTTAAAGACTCTAAGCCCTCCACTCTATTTCCATCAGGCAATGCTGTGCCATTACCGTCCAGAGGGGTGGACAGATTTCTCTTACAAGGCTGAGGGTCACTTTATAGGGCCACTTTATTGATTATGCCATTACAGTTGTCCCTTTTTTTTTTTCTCTCCTTTACCCCCTCTGCCCTGCATCCCCCTCCCTCCAGGATTCCCCTGCCTTAGTTCATGTCCATGGGTTATACATATAAGTTCTTTGGCTTCTCCATTTCCTGTACTATTCTTAACCTCCCCCTGACTATTTTGTGTCTAACAACTATACTTCTTCTTTTAAGATTTTTTTATGTATTTATTTTTTAGAAAGGAGAAGGGAGGGAGAAAGAGGAAAGAAAGAAACATCAATGTGTGGTTGCATCTCGCGTGCCACTTCTTGCGGACCTGGGCTGCAACCCAGGCACGTGCCCTGAGTGGGAATCAAACTGGAGATCTTTTGGTTTGCAGACTGGCGCTCAACACACTGAGCCACACCTACCAGGGCTGTTTTTGTTCTTAAATTGGTTGTTATCCTTCTTTTGGTTGTGCAAGGAAGCGAAGCGTATCTCCCTATGCCTCCATCATGGCCAGAACTTCTATTTTTTATTTTTTTAGTCATTGGTTCATATAATATTTTCGAGCACTGTGTATCAGGCTCCATATTAGACGTATGGAATTCAAAGATAGAATCATGATGTCTTGATTCCTACACAAATAGGCAACCCCAATCTAATAACATTACTGCCATACTAGGAGTACTCATTTATATAAGGTGAGAAAGAAGTACAGAAAGAGTCTATAAATCTTTCTCAGCATCACATAACACTATACAGAGGAGAAAGGAAGAGAAAGTCAGTATTGCAAAAGGTGGCAGAACAGGCGCAGAGCACTGGAACTATTAAGTTGCAGGTAACCATTAAAGAAGACTTTTCCTTTTCTTTTGAGGCTCCCTGGGTCCAAGAAAGAAAATTAAATAGCACCCTTGTCAATGAGAGAGAGAGCCCAAGGCAAAGATCCTAGGCCCTTTCACCCAGGGTCTGTCGGAAAGGAGTGGCAGAGCAGCAGATAAGGGGGAACAATTCCTACAAAGGGAGTCATTGGCCTTTCCAGGAGGCCCAGAGGTGTGGAAGGATGCTTTTCTACCCCTACAGAGACCCACTCATGGGGGGCAATGACCATTGTGGGGCAGAAGGCAAAGAGAAGTTCTACACCCCTCCCCCAGAAATGTCTTCCCTCTGGAGATGATAGGGTGTGAGCCGGTTGCCAAAGAGGCAAAGGGACTTAGGGTGGTAGAGAAAGATGCGGGAAGCTTTCCCCTAATAAGAGGAGGGAGCAACAAAAGGAGAGCAAGACAAAGAGACTAAGAAAAATTCAACTTGAAAGGAGCAAGTGCTGGATTCTTGTCTGCAGAGGCCGTGCAACCCAAAACCCTGGAGATGGGGCAAAGACTGGTGGCTGAGAGACACAGCAGAGGAGGAGGAAAAGGAGTGAATTGGGATAGAGTTGTGTGAGCCCAAGAGTGACAATGGGGGAGGGCTTAATCAGGGCAGTGATTGCACAGAAGGGGTGGAAAGGGTCCATTTGGCAGCTCCTAGAACCTGGGGAGAACAGATGGAGGCAATGATTCAGCACTGTCTGAGTAAACGGAAGTGCATTTTTCACAGGGTCAGAGCGTACTTTTAACTCAGAGGAAAGATATTCCTTTCCATTTTACTGGAACCAGAGTTTTAAAAAGGTCAAATGTGTGAGCCTGGCTGGTGTGGCTTAGTTGGTTAGAGTGTTCCCATAACTGAAAGTTTGCAGGGTTTGATCCCCGGTCCAGACACTTATAGGTGGCAACCACCTCTCTCTCTCGTCAATGTTTTTTTCTCCCTTCTCTTCCTTCCTCTCTCTAAAAGCAATTAAAAAAAGTCCCTGGGTGAAGAATAAATAAGTGATCAAATGTGTGAGATGGGGTAGGTGGAGACAGAGGAAGGGCAGTACATCTTCGAGGCTAAATTTGGAATGAGAGAGACCTTGACTCAACCAACCCAGCTACTTACCATCTGTGTGTCATTGGCCAAGTTAACCAACTTCTTTAAGCCTCAGGTTACTCATATACAAAAAGGATACAAAAATATTTTCCACATATGGTTTTTCCAGAAAACACTTGGCACAGGCCCTGGTAGATAAGCAAATTCAATAAGGGTTAACTCTTTTCATATGTATAATTAGTCTGCATCACTAGAAGCATTGTTCAACTAAAGATATGAACCAGTCAGATAGATCACAGCTGAGATTCTATGTTCAGATCTAAGTCCACCTTCTATGAAAGACACTGATAAACTCTAGCCTCCCCCAGGGAAAGGTAACTCAGTGATGCTGCAAATCATGAAATATGAAGAGGAATTAACCTAGATGATATTTGGGGTAATGAGGGTGGTAATGTGAAGAAGCACTAACATTCTGTTTAACTTTAGGAAACAATACTGTGTTGCTAAAGACTGTGGAGCCAGGATGCTTGGTTTCAAATACTCAGACCATCAGCCATCTTTGGTCAAGTTCCTGAACCTTTCTAAAGCCTCAGTTGCTTCATCTATAAAATATAGTTAATTAGATTACTTAATGTTAGAATGTACTGGGACACGGACCTAAACTACCGCCTATGCTGGGACAAAGAAGATATAGTCACCGGCTAAATACCTGACTGGGAGATTGCCCATATCCGAAGCAACTGAGGCATAGCCACTGGCATCCTGCTGGAAATCCGTTGAATCCTCACTGTCCCCTCCCCTCTCCCTAGAGCTTTCTACAGAATCAGCCCTCCCTGATCAGATACCCAGACACCTAGAGGAGATAAGCAGGGTGACGCACCCTCCCCTGGGGTCTGCTACACACCTTAAAAGCCCTTCTCCCCATTGCCTTGGGGCTGCCTTCCCTTTGGACTCAGCCCGCCATATCTCGGTGTCCTGCCTCGAATAAAAGCCCTTAATTGGACTTTTCTGGCTCTGGGTCCTTCCTTAGCCACCTCAGCTACCTAACATCTACGTCATAAGATTATTGTAGCAATTAAATGAGTTAACACATATAAAGTGCTTAGAATAGCATATGGCATATAGTATATACTCAATTTGCCGTCATTGCAGAGGAGATTCATCCTCCAAGGCAGAAGTACAATAGATTTCCCAACCCTTAGCCTCTTGGGCCTAAGAGGAGGTCCGGCGCTTTTTGGCTGTAAAGGCAGTTGGCTAGTGATGCAATCATTCCCATCGACCGCTAGAAAGCAGTAGAGTCCGACGCTGGGTGGCTTCATCCTTAATTCGTTCCGGGTTTTGCCTCTCGGCAGTTTGTCTCGCTCCAATCTCCGTGCTCACTGCTGCTGTAAAACCGCCCATTGTTGACTACCCAACCAATAAACGAGGGTTCAACTGGAGCCGGGGATGAGCCGGTGCCCCTCCTGGTGGTTCTAGCCCCGCCCACCATGAGACGAGCAAATCCCTTAGGCGGAGCCGAACGTCGTCCGGGACGGCGTCCTTGAGACTGCGCGGTGCTAGGTAGGTGGGCTTACGCCGCCTGGGCTGACGAACAGACAAGTGGACGAAAGGGAACGGGCCGCCCCTCCCGGTTACCCACTATCCTGGGCCCTCATTCAGCCATGGGCGTGCAGCCCCCCAACTTCTCGTGGGTGCTCCCAGGCCGGCTGGCGGGGCTGGCGCTGCCTCGATCCCCTGCCCATTATCAGTTCCTGCTGGATCTGGGCGTGCGGCACCTGGTGTCTCTGACTGAGCGCGGGCCCCCGCACGTAGACAGCTGCCCCGGCCTCACCGTGCACCGACTGTGCATTCCGGACTTCTGCCCGCCAGCCCCCGAACAGATTGACCGCTTCGTGCAGATCGTGGACGAGGCAAACGCCCGGGGAGAGGTCAGTGGGCGGGGTTAGCGCAGGGAAGGAGACTGGGAAGGATCAGTGGGGACAATGGCGGTGGTGGAAGAGTCAGGGTCGGGAGTACAGGGCTGGGAGCAGGAGAGAGACTGGAGGAAGACCGCACAGTCAGGACTGTACTGGTGAAATCCGGAAGTAAAGCCAAGCGGAGGGGGCGGGGCCGTAAGAGGGAAGGGCAGAAAGAGGAAAGAGGTCCAGCCGTGTAAACTGGTCTCCAGCCGGAGAACTGGTTGAAGTTGAGACTTGAGGAGGAGAAGTGGTGAACAGACTTGAGAGCGGGGGCGGGGATCGAAGTCTGAAGCTATTGAACAGTCTTCACAGCAGTGCTCTGTCCAAATATGTAATTTAAAGTTTCTAGCAGCCACATTTTAAAAGGTAAAAAACGAGCAGGAGAAATTTATTTTGATAATACAGTTTAACTGAGTAAGTCAAAAATATCATTGCAACATGTAATCAATATAAAGTAAATTCTTAGGGAGATATTTTATTGGTTTTTTTTTTGTTTGTATATTTGTTTTTGCTTTTTGTTTGTTTTGTACTACATCTTCACAGCCTGATTGCATTTTACATCACATCTCCATTTGGACTAGTAGCAATGTCAAGTCCTAAGTAGCCGCAGGTGGCCAGTGCCTTCTGCACTGGGCAGCACAGAGAGATGGTTGTGGAGAGGCAGGCCAGAAGCCCAGCACTTGAACCAGCCACTTTCTGGTGATTGGTGACCTCAAAGCCACCAGATACAGGGCAGTTCTCCTTGACTCTAATGTCAGCTCTTGCTCCTAAGGTGTGTGCAGAGTCCTGGGCTAGACCAGAAGAAGCAGCTATAGGGCGAAAGAGAGAGGCCTAAGTGCCTGAGGGGTGGCCAAGTTTTGGGAGGAAGTCAGGCTCCATCCCATTAAGCTCCCCTTTCATAGGCTGTGGGAGTGCACTGTGCCCTGGGCTTTGGCCGCACTGGCACCATGCTAGCCTGTTACCTGGTGAAGGAGCGGGGCCTGGCTGCAGGAGACGCCATCGCTGAAATCCGGCGGCTTCGACCTGGCTCAATCGAGACGCATGAGCAGGAGAAAACGGTCTTCCACTTCTACCAGCGAACTAAATAAGGAACCTCATCACCCTTGTGCCAGGCCCCCACTGCCCTGACCAGAGTATTAGATGGGGCTAGAGATAAGGAAGTACACTAAAGCCCTCCAGTTCCCAGCTGGCTCAAGAGACTGAAGTCACCCTTCCCTGCTGCCAGGTTCTGACTGAAGAGATGGCTGGAGCTGCATTGTTGTGGGGGTTCCTTTGCTACTTCCTTGAATAAATAATTTATAAGAACCAGCTCATGTTGCATGGCACTTTGCAATTTACAAAACACTCCCACACATCAGCTTACTTCAGCCTCACAGTAGCCCTGTGATATCAGAAGGTCACTTTGGGTGAGGTGGCTAAAGCTCAGAGAGTTTCAAAGTCACATGGGCTAGCAGGACTACAACACACATCTTCAGCCTCTTGAAGATGCTGAAACTCTATGTATATATTCTCTGATGACATTTGATGTGTCTTCTAGAGAGCTTGTCAGTGAAAAGGACACAAATCTCTGGAATCTCAGAATCTCATGCTCACAGGCCACGAGGATCCATATGGATATAGGCCCACGTGCCCCACATGTGTCATTCTCTTAGGACAGAGAAGGCCTGGATGTTGTGCTCCGAGGTCTGCATGCCTCTCACCAGCCTTGGGGTGCTCAGTTCACCCATGACCTTCAATCCATTATGTTTTCCCACAATCTCAGGCCAAGGAATGCCAGAACTGAGTTCATCTGGGCAGTTATGCAGAGAAGATATTTTGTAATTAAATGGGCTACAAATCATAGCCATGTTTCTCAGACATTACCTTCACTTTCCCATTGGATCCCATTCTACCAGCACCACCACCATGCTTTCAGCTTTGAGAGATAAATGGGATAAATGTCCAACAGATCAGCCAAGCAGATTTTTTGCTATAACTCCTACCTGAATTCCTGTCCTCTCTTCTGCTGTGGTTGTCCGTGCTGGATAAAGTAGAAATTCATCATGAAATATGTGCTAAATGCCTGTGTTTATCAGGCTTTGTTAGATGCGAGAGGTACCCAGAGCTGAATATGATTCACAGCCTCCTGGACGGGGTGGGCACAGAGTCCAACCACAGATAATTGGGACAATGACAGACATGCATTCCAGATGCAGTGGAGACATAGAGGGCGGAAACAGGTTCCTCCACTAGTCCCCATCCTTTGTGGCCTGGACCAGAGCCTGGTCAAAACTACCAGCCCCTCATACATCCTAATCCCTTTCACTGCCACCCACCCAACTCAACCCACACCCAAACTTCCGTTATACAAAAGGTATATTAGCAAGAGTCTTGCAAATCTAGGAGCAAGAGAAAGGCTGTAAGACACATACACACCCCTTTCCTCTGTGTGTCAAATGAGTAATCACTTGGTCCCCACCCAGCCTACCCAAATGAGGATATCTCCCAAAGAACCCACAATTCCTTGCATTGAGGCTGCAGCAGAGTGAGAAATAGCACATAGAGAGGATGCACTGAAAGGATCACATGGCTCTCATCAAAATTTCCTCCATCCTGCCCACCCTCACCTGCCCCTCCTCCAATAGCCTGGTTCATTTTGTTTCTCAAATGTAAATCAGTATCTTCCAAAAGTAGGGATGTATGTGTGTATGTGAAGGCAGGAAGGGTGTGAATGGCCCACTTCCTGGATTTATTCCCTCTGTTTACCAGGATGTAGAAACTGGTGGGGAGCCTTGAAGCTGCACCCCTGAGTTCATGTCTCTGCTGTGATCCTGACCTGCTGAGGTCCTACAGTGGATGGACCTTCACACTTTGTGTCCTCCGTTCCTACCTCACTCCATCTTCCCTATATCTCCTGCACTGCAGGAGAGGAATCTTCCTTTCCTTTCTTCCTGAGAGTCTGTCAAAGGAGACAGAAAATTTTTCTAACCCCAGTAAAACTGTGTGCAGCTTCCACCATGATTTAAGCATGTCTCCTCTGCCTCAAGAGTTCCTTGGGGAAATAAATGTATAGTTATGTGCCTAATGAAATCAGTTTTTAAATGAGTTGACTTAGAATGAAAAACTATCCTTACCCTTCCATCTACCTTGGGAGGTTAGTCTAAGGTTGCATTTTGGCTTATTCCCACCCCAATTTTTTTTGCCTCTGCTCACCTCTCTGCTGTCTATGGCCACTAATGAGAGATTACAGACCAGCCATGACCCTTCCCCATTCTGCCATTCTACCCTACACTGAGATGATAGGTGTGAGGAACAAGCCCCTCCATAGACAAAGAACCTTCACATTGCATCAGACCAGGGCTTAAGGTCAGCACTGCTAGCATTTGAGGCTGGATATTTGTTGTGGGGAGGGGGGAAGTAGGGTGTCCATACCACAGGGTGTTCCATCATCCCTGACCTCTACCCACCAGATGCCAATGGAATGCCAACCCCTCCCCCCAAAAAATGGCAATAAATATGTCTCCTGACATTGCTAAGTGTTCCCTGGGAGGACAAAATCAGCCCCATTTGAGAAACACTACATCAGACCAGCAAGCACCAAATACTACCATAGGCTTTTGTTTTCTATGGGAGTAGAGGTAGTAACGTGAATTTCTCCTGTGGATGCACACATCTTGATAGGGGAAAGGCAGCCAAATTAAACACCCTCAAACACCATTATCCTTTTGAGCAATGTCTGGCACCCATCCTCAGTCCCCCACCTCTTTTCCCAGGCTGGGTTCCCAACATGGTCATAGACACTGTTAACTTCCTACACGTAGGAGTGCTTTATTCTCAATGAGTTGCTGGTGGGCATAGCTGCAGTAACACTGACTCCCACCCCCATGTTTTTAAAGTTTCCTTCATGCTTATGCTCTAACACAAGACCCAAGTTCCCTGCTTAAAGAAGTCTTGTCTATGTGAAAACATCCCTCCATATCATTTGGGTTTTGCACCATCAACTCTTAGGTTCCTTTCCCAGAAAATTATTCTGATGCAGAAGCCACTGGAGTCAGGATAGGAGGAACACCTGCCATATTCTTCCTGGAAACCATTCCTCACTGATCTGGCTCTCCCACCTGCCCTTCACCTGCAGCTATCTTCTTGCTCCAACTGGGGTTCTTCTGCTCTGGGTTCTAGGTTCCATGACTACCCCTAGGCCATGTGTCCCAGCACACAGCTTCCTCCAGAAACAGACCTGCATCCTGCACACTCACTGTGGCTACTCATGCCTTGAAGCTGTGCCTCAACACCACCTTCCAGTCATTTATGACATGCAGGGACCCCATCTCATAGGGTGGCTCATCATCCTGCCCTTGGCTAAGGAGATCTGGCCCCCAGATCAAGTCTTCCCAGGACAATGAAGATCATGTCACTTGGGGCAGGGTCTTGATGCAAACCATAAACTATTTCCCAGAATGAAATGCACTCATTTGCCAAGCCCAAATCAAATCTACTGTCTGTATCTTGCCACTCTTTATAAAAAAGAAAACGAATTTAGTCTCACAGGATTGTTTTGTCACAAACCAATATCAGTTACCACTAATGCATTCCAAACTTTGTTATGACCATGCTTTGCTTATATTTGATGATATTTGCCTATTTATGAAGCACCTACCATATAGCAGATGTTTACATACATTGCATTGTATCATTTTATCCTTACAACCATTCTGAAAATCAGGTATTTTTCCTTTTTTATAGGTGAGGGAACTGAGGCTTACAGAGATGACTAGCTTACCCAATGCCTCACACTTGTGTGAAGGAGCTGGCATCAAACCCAGGTGATAACTCCATACTCATGCTCCTTCAATCAGACAGCTTGTCTGCTAAGACCAGACCCTGGTTCCAGTTACACGGGGAAGTCTATCTTCATGATCAAACCTTAGCTTCCAGGGTCATCTCATCAGCAGAGCTTCCAGTATCCACTCTCTTCATCCTCTCAGGAGTCCAGAGAAAAACCTGCACCTGACTGCAGCCAAATACACCCCAAGCATCTAGTCCAAAAACAGTTAAGCTGATTGATCACACTACCTCTGTCACAGACACAAGACCCACTGGAGCTAACTCAGAGCATGGGGCATGCCTCACCTGGCATGACAGTCCTGAGGCATGTATGACTGGCATTGAACCCTCCAAATGTCTTTTTATGTCTCATGAGTTATTAAAAACCCTAATATTCTTCTGGTTTTACTGTTACATGAGCCCTTAATGCATGCCAGTCACTATGCCAAGTACTTTTTTAAAATTTTTAAATCATGTTTATTCTATTACAGTTGTCTCAATTTTTCCCCCTTTACCCCTCTCCGCCCATCCCACCCCCATGTCCCACTCCCACAGGCAATTCCCACTCTGTTGTCCTTGTCCATTGCTCATTCATATATATTCATTGTCTAGTCCCTTCCCTTTCTTTCCACCATTGTCCTCTTTCCCCATCCCCTCTGGTCATTTTCAGTCTGCTCCATGTTTCTATGCCTGTGGTTTATTTTGTTCGTTAGTTTATTTTGTTGAATAGATTCCACTTATAGGTAAGATCATATGATATTTGTCTTTCTTCAACTGGCTTATTTCACTTAGCTTAATAGTCTCCAGTTCCATCCATGTTGTCACAAAAGGTAGGAGTTCCATCTCTCTCTCTCTCTCTCTCTCTGTCTTTCTTAAATGCAGATTGATTTTAGTTATTTTTTTAAATGTCAAAGTTAATTATAAAATATTAAAAAAATTAAAACCATTATAAAGTCTCAGAAATTAAACCAACATGACACCAACACAGAAATAATCAATTAGATCAATGAAATAAAATGAGCATTCTAGAAACTAACATATATATCTATATAACAATGTAATATATGATTAAGTTGATATTTCATTTCAATGGGTAAAATAAGTCTTATTCAACAAATAAGGCGCATGGACCACTATTACTTGAAATAAAACAAATATAGAGCCCTATTTCACATGTTATACAAGAAATATTCAGGTGAGTTAAAAATCAACATGTAGAATCTAAGGAGTTTTAGGAGAAAATACAAACTAATATTTTTCTTACCCTGAAGGAAAATATTCAAACCCAGAAGCTATAAAATAAAATATTGACAGTATGACTATATTAAACATTTAATACTGTGCAGTAATATGCATATGAAAAAGTTACAGGACAAGTAATAGAATAGGAAAGTATTTGCAACACATCTAAAAAAAGGTTAATGGTTTTGTTTTGTTTTTTTAGGGAAAAAATTCTACAAACATTTAATCAAATAATGGATATGGAATACCAAACAGTCAT